GGTTTGCTGAAGTATTCTTAAATTATGTTTTTTTTTAAGATCTGAGGAATACAATCTTCATCCTTAACAAGATAGCTTTATCTTTTGTTCTTTTATTATCGATTTTATATTCCATTATTTGACTCACTTTTATTTTTGAATTTAGTTTGAGGGTTTTAATCTTGAATTCTGAAAAATGAAAGAGCATAGCAGCAAAATGTGGATAGGTGAATGAGAGTGCATTGATATGTGTAATGTTATGAATTCATTCAGATGGTTGTATTCAAATATATCGAAGATAAGGATGTCTTTCAAAAGTTTTATACGAAGATGCTGGCCAAACGGCTGGTGAGTGAATTGAGTGCGAGTGATGAAGCTGAAAGTAATATGATCTCAAAGCTGAAGCAGATGTGTGGTTTTGAATATACGAGTAAATTACAACGAATGTTCACTGATACTAGTCTTAGTAAGGTAAGTGCTGCATGAGTCACTCGATTACTTTCTGATCAATCAAACTTTCTACCGATGGAGTATTGTTATTTATTAAGTATCAGCAGAATTTCATTAGCTAATATTTCAAGTTCATTATGCTCAGTGAATTACTAACTGATCAAGAATACTAGGTAAATGAATTCACTGCAACTGTTTTGTTGTTTTGCAGGATATCTCTGAGAGATACAAACAATACCTAGCGGCCGAAAATATCGATTTAGGACTCGATTTCTCGATAATGGTACTCGGCTCAGGAGCGTGGCCGTTCTCGCAGTCGATCGTCTTCGACATCCCTCGTCAACTCGTTAATTGTATCGAACAATTTATGAAGTACGTTTTTTCGTTTTGTTCGATTCATTTTATCGTTCAATATTTATCTGTTCATAGCGTATTTTCTCTTTATCCCCAGTGCTGCAATATGAATCTATTGCGTGGTATTTATAATGATCTCGGTGGATATGTATCAGGAAAGTGGCAAATGAATGAATATTGTTTGATGGATTGCAGATTCTACTACGCTAGACATACGGGTCGTAAACTAACGTGGCTTCTATCGAATTGTCGTGGTGAACTCTCAACAAACGCTTTCCAAAGGAGATACACCTTCACGGTTCGTTCAGTTCATTTCGTTGCTTTTCTCAAAATGCATTCATTCCAAAAAATGTATTTTATATAAAAGTGCATGTTTTCATTGGAAATATTTCAGTGATTTTGGTGCTGAAATGATCATTTAATGAATATTGTTTTAAATTGTTCGGCGGTGAATAATTCATAATGACCGATAGCAGTGACGTTCATTTGTTGCCGTATTTTGAGTCGAGTCTCATAGAATGTGAAGTTTAAATGGTACGCAATGAATGAGTGAGTATTGCAGACAACAACAGCCCAGATGGCATTGCTGATGTTGTATAACGACTCGTTGGAGATGACCATCGCGCAGTTACTCGAAAATACCAAACTGAAACGTGAAATGCTCATACAGATCGTGCATGCACTTGTTAAGGTATTCTACTTTAATTTTCGATGAGTTAAAAGTTGCGATAAGATTATTGTTGAGAAAAGAGTCATTCCGAAATGAAATATATGAGGTAGTGTTTGTTGATTTGGTGAAATTCGTTTTAGTATGAAGTATGAAATGTTTGGTTTGTTCTTTTTGACGCACTACTTTGCCATTTTCAAAATTTTCTGAATAAAACATCCGCTTCACCTCGAAATTTGTGGAAGATATGACTGGAAAGATGAAGGTACGGCGAAGTACATTAGTGCTACTATAATCATTATTATTGGTAATATCAAATTGATACGAAAGCAAATTAATTTAGGTTGAATTGTTAACAGTATCAGGTGACAACGTCGAAATTGATTTGAACACGCCACCAACGACTAATCTCAAATTGAATCTTTCTTTCGCGAAGTTTGTTGCTCTTTTTCATTTATTCATTTTGCTTCAGTCAGAATTCTACCTTTAAATAGCAATTTCCCATCATTCATCGGTCGAATTAGCGGTGTACCCGTAAGTTGATTGCCTAACTTTATCATTCATCTGGGAAAATGATAAATTCGAAAAAGTGAATTTCATTTCTTCTTTCATTTCAAGATTTCTTGAGATTATTCGATTACGTTACCCACCTTAGCGATGCAAAATTGAACATAATTCTGCTACAGCAAAAAACTAAAAGTCGATCTATCGAAAACGATGATGCGTACTGAGGTACGTCAGGAGACGGTCGAAATACAGAAATCTGTTGATGACGACAGACGTATGGTGATACAGGTAGAGAAATGTTCTGTTGCATAAATTCAGTCCGTAATTATACGCTTTTTAGTGCCACTTTCAGATTTTGTATTCAAACTCANTAGGTATGGAACGTTTTTGAAGAAATTAATGCATTCACGTTTGAATCGTATGGAAATTTGAAAAATGCAACGTGAACTTTGAAAAGGTCTGTGCAATATATTGATGGTATGTATAGTTAGTAAAATTCGTGTGATCGTCAATGTTGTTGTTGTTTAAAGGCTGCAATCGTGCGTATTATGAAGATGAGGAAACGTCTCAAGCACACACAACTCATCACTGAGGTTCGTTTCTTCTTTTCTCGTGTTTTCATTGGTCTCTTTGAACGAGAAGGTTGATCATTTCCTATTCAAATAGCGTTGATTATTTGATAGCGCAGATTTTCATCGAGTCGTTCGTTTGATGATTGTCATCTAAAGTTTCAACTGGATCACTGATCGATCACATTTCAAGGTACTGGCTCAACTCTCATCGCGATTCAAGCCGAAAGTGCCAATGATAAAGAAATGTGTGGATATTTTAATTGAGAAGGAGTATCTGCAAAGGGCTGAAGGTGAGAAGGACGTATACGAATATCTTGCATAATCACAGTCAGTCATCAATCAGCCAACAACAACAACAACCAGCCTATGCTCATCATATTTGCCTATGCTATCATCTACTAACAAATCCACTTTCTGTTCTAGCGCATGTCATTGTCAGTTCATGCTTGACCCACTGTTTATTCCACATAATGGATTCTTTTTTCGTATTCCTCTGAAATAAGCATCGTGAATTGAATAATTTGCAGTAAACACTTTCACCAAAACTTCAAAATGATTTATTCCTCTTCACGTTTTTGTCTAAAAAATTGAGTTCTTTTGCATATGTTGACGTTTCGATGTTATTCAATATCACTGGACATTTCCGAATTTGTTCGCATTATTTTGTTCTTTCATCTGTAACACCTTAAGTATTCTATGTACCTGCCTATATCCTGCTAAACATCTCTTTGAAAGAAAAAAAATTTGTGGAATATTGCAAAGAGCATTTCTCCAGTCGCGTTGATTTATGAATTTTTCCGGCCCTCGTATTTTTCGTGTTCACTGAGAAATGCGCAACTTTCACGTATTTCTGGATTTCCTTCCTTATCGAGTATTTTGTAGTTTGTGTTTGGTTTCGTTCCATTTCTCGTGTATCGTCATCATCGCGTGTGTACTCATGTCTCGTTTCTCGTTTTGCATGAAAATGAAATCGTTGCGCACACCTGCCGCAAGAACACTCAGTCTGAGTTCATCCAGAAGAAGGACAGTCGTGAATGACTTAAAACATATTTCAAGTTGTGATTGTCACTTGTTCGAGGGGTGTAATTGATCGGTGATATTGTTCAGTAAAATATCATGGGAATGTGTTCATTTTATACATATGCTAATGATGTGTATATATGTTATGCTCTTTGATACACCATAATACAAGATGCATTTGTGAATTGCACAAAGGAATGAACAATTTCAGAATTCGATTCATCAATTCATTGCTTGATTTATCACATAATACACGGTCATCGTTATCTCTAATGCTTATCAAGAGCAGTGATGGAACTGCTGTTCCAAATCCGAAATGAGTAATCTCTTCGAGCACTCAGGTTGTGATGGCACTGTGCTGTCTGTCGTTCACTACCTCGACGATCAGTTGAGTGCCTACTATGCTGTTGTTTTGACTCCTTCATATCACACACACACACATGTATCCGAAACTGATTTGATTCATTTTATTCGATTACTAATTGAATATAATTTCTTCGTGGGTAGGTTCTGTTGTCTATTCTCATCGCGTTCAGTTTTAAACGAATTCATTGCGTTCACAAAGATTAAGCATCACGGTAATAATGTGTTGTTTTGCATGATTGAATATTGATATGGTTTTTGTTTGTGCTTTTATTTGTTCTTGTGTTTGTTTGAGTGTGTGATAAGTTTGTCCATCTATGTAAAGGTGTTGTATCTTATCGAATCTTTATTGCATTGTATTGTATTGTATTCAGTCGTGATGTAATGCAGTATTCGTTGAACACTTCATAAACCTTTGAATGTGCATATTGTATTCATTTGCTTTTGTGATTCGTTCGTTCGAAGTTGTCTTATCAAAATTAATATTTGTTAAGACGGAGACATTTTGTTATGTTATAATGGAAAGCTTTTGTACTCTTTGAATTCGATGTTGAACTGTCTTATTGGAATTCGTCAAAATGCGCGATTCAGTAAGCAAGTTTTCTCCATGCCGGACTCAAGGTGGATTTTGTTTTTCCGATTGAATAGGCAACTGATAAGTTCTTTGCAGCCATCTATTTTTATGTCGACTGATGAAAATGTAGTGGGATGAAAGTATTGGGCAAGGAAAGAAGTGAGATATGTTTGATATGTTCGACAATGCTTTTGAATTGGTTAATCTATTGCTGAAATGCACGCGAAACTTCGCATTCGAAGCCGTGGTCGTCGTTTCGCGCTGTGGACCGACCCTCCATTTAGGCAGCTAGCATGAGACAAGAATTGGGTGCAATTGATTTCGTTGGCCTGAATCACCGTCGTGTAATCGTATGATTGGATGTGAACGATAGATATGTTGTTAGTTGAATGTTGTGATTTGATGTAATACGTTATATTCAAGTTGATATGAGTTCGTGCTTTCTCTCTTCTTTTAGTTGGTTCTTTGATTTGATGGTTCGTTTGTTATTTGTTTGTTGAGCGTTTATTAATCGTATTGTACCTTTATAACAGCTGCGGTATTCGTTTAGCAGCACTGACTGAGATGTGTGAAGAATTGAAGTGAGTTTATTGTATTTGTGAATTTTGAGGGTTACGAAAATTGTGGCTCGAAATTATTGATGAGAAGACATGAAAACCTGTTCAGAAATAGAAGGTTGAAGTCAGAGATCTTAATAATTGAACTGAATAGGTTTTGGGTGATTTACGTGACTCTTACGAATAAAATTTTCATCAGATGAATAATCGTGCATGTTCTTTTGGGATCAGTGAAGCCTTTTTTCGCCTCTCCGAATGTTTTTTTGTTTGAGTGTTTTATTATGATTATTGAGGTATTCTTGATGTATGGAATAATCATAAATTCGGTTCCAAGTGATATGTCCGTTTGTTCTGATTTTTATAGTTGATTTGAGTGGTTAACTGTTTTGGATGTAAATCGTTTTCATTATGAATAGTGGATGTTAGATGCATTAATAAAGTGGAACACATAAGTCTGAAATGATTCACGTTGTGCGATTGGTTGCTCTCTGATTGGAATTATTATTATTTGATAATGATATTGCTGATGATAATAACAGTGCATCGAATGACATTGAATAAGCACCCATGGAAGTAATCCACTGTTCCATCAGTGATTCGAATATTGTTGTTCTGTTTCAATTGATTTAACGCAGTGGTTTGTCATTAAATACATGCTGCTTGATCTGATCACTTGCATTCACCGGATAGAAATTTTGATTTTTTGATTGAGTTTTGGGGATAGCTCTGATCGCTTTACAGTGCATCACAGGTGATATAAATAGTTACCATGACGAGCGGTTCCAATAAATTCATGCATCTAAGCGATCTGGTATATTCACATGCAATGAATTAATTCATTCTAGTTTTTGTCGACTGAACAAATTTCATTGAACGCCAATTCGTTTTACAATAAAGTAACTAGGAATGAAAACAATTGATGCATTTCAGCCATATCACTGCGATCATCACGTTGGGTTTGGAATGTTTTTGAATGTTGTGGTTGTGGGGTTGTGTTTGAATGGAATCGAATCGGTGCTTGGCTTATTCCCGGGTGCCGAACCAGACGAAGGAGATTACCGACATCTTTATCCGATTCTGTCACTGAATATACAGCTAGAGGATCATGCACACGCATTATCGTATTTCTTTGGGTTAATCGAAAATCTCGATTATCCAAAAGATCGCTTGTCAGTGAATTTGTTCGTTGAGAAGTCGATGGATGCAACTGTTGATAAAACGAAATGGTGTTGTTCTCATTCTTAATTTCACTGTTTTTAGCAATTATGAACCGTTCCAAATGGGTAATTCACAGTTTATAACTAACCAGTGTAGATTCTGCTGAAGGTGAACGTCGTTCATGTGCATATTACAATAACGAACCACTGAAGAGGTGGTATTTCTTTCGACGACCTAACGTGGTGTCGAAAACTCAAAAATTCATATTGTATGGGATGAAGTTGACTTGCATCTAACTTCAAGCCAATATCTGGAATCACGCTAATGTTTAGTATCAGCCTTATGCTCACCCTACGAAAACTCTTCATTCAAACGATATCCAAGCCTGTTCAAACCGGATTTTCGGTAATCATCATGGGACACTTGTTGACTAATAATAACAGTGTGAAACATAGAGTGAAGATAAATTTTAACGACACAAAGCAAACAATGGTGATGATTTGTTGAGGTGGTTCAAGAGTGTCACGAAGTTGTATCGAACAGTTCAAATATTCGAAGATCCAGAGAATTGGCGTGAAGATGCTTTGACGCGATCCAGATTACTTCGCGCAAAATATGCATTCTTCTTACGAGTAATTTTTTAATTTCTCAACATTTCGAAATCTTTATCTGATTGCGATTGTTTTCCTACCATTCACTCACACGTTCTCCAGCCGACTATCTTACCTTCTTCTGTAAACATTGAAAGATGATCGCTGTATTTGAAGGGAGATCATTTTATCGTGAACAATCGAATTCTGCAAAATTTAATCGCAGCGAAACACGTCGTTATTTCACCACTTTTACACGCACCATTTGATGGAACCTCGAACGTTTTCATATCCGAAACGTTCGATTCGCGTGAAGAGATCGGCATTGATCAGGTTTTTTGTCTATTCCAGTTCAGTTCTTGAATTTGACGTTCCCTTCCAAAAGATCATAACAGATGACACGGACTATTTCTGGCATCATCAAATACTGAAGTCAGCAATTTTTGTTATGACGAACCAGACTGAAATTTATCAGAACAGATCATCGAAAACCCATTGCCAGTTACGAATGATTCACATTAATCGACGGATAAGTAACGAAACCAAAATCTTGCGATTAATTTTCCAGATAGAGCAAGCCGTTGAACCAATGTTGATTGACCTGTCGCATAGTGATGCGTCGTACTTGACGTTTTCGAGCGGAAACATTCCGTTCTATGCATCAACACAGAACACAGAATCGATATCGAATGATAGTCCGTTGTCCATTTTTGCGTTCTCTGCAAGTCGAATGAATATTTCGTTGTATGTGACTAATGAACACTTTTATGGGTACTTCTTCGACTCATCAATTTATTCACTCAATTTCCGAAGACAGCTGGTCAGTTTGTTAAGGTTTCGGATATGATTTAGTTTGTTTGTTGTGTTCGTGAAGAGTTGTTTTTGTTGTTTTCTTAAAAAATGTTCCGATAATATGAGTCGAAAGAAAGAGACGCTTGTTCATGATAACGTCAGCAAGTTGTGAGGGCAATTGAGAGTGACGAGTTTATTGTGTTCAATTTGGAATGTGATAAGGTTCGATTAAGATTCGTTATTTCATTGCGAATATGATATCCGACTACGGAGTGATGCCTTTGATTCACTCGTCCCATCTCAAACCGACCTATCCGAAGGCATCGTTATTCGGTGTTGATCACATCTACTTGATCAATCTGCAAAGACGACAAGAAAGGTTCGTATCGTACTGTGCAACCTTCTGAATCCTTTAATCTTAAAGCCGATCGACTCGCTTCCTTTCATCCAAAACACTCTTTCTCCTCGCACGAGATTTGTTTACTCTCAAATGATTCACTTCAGACGACAAAAAATGACTGAAATATTGAAGCTGATGGGAATTGACTACGAGTTGTGGAGGGCAACTGACGGTCAAATGTTATCTACCGAGCAGTACGCGTCTGATGTGCTAGTTCTGCCTGGTTATGAGGATCCCTACCATAAACGTCCAATGAAGGCTGGCGAGGTGCTGTGCAGTAGTGTCATCCATAATTAGCATTTCTTTACTTTTTTAAGTGATGATCAGTGAGTCATGTCTCGATGATTTTTGCAAAATGAGAAACATTTTCGGAAAGTGAATCGTTGAAGAAGAACGATTGAAATTGCATTGCATCGGTTCGTTGAGAAGTGAATGAATTGAAATGTTGAAGATCGGTTGTTTCTTGAGTCATTATCGGATATGGCGCGATATGATCGACAGATCGTACGAACGTGTCATCGTGTTCGAGGATGACATTCGTTTCATACTCAATTCGACGACTTTACTCTCCGAGTTGATCGATGATCTCGATCGAACTCAGATACCGTGGGATCTGGTGTATTTGGGTCGTAAGCGTCTCGAGAACGCTCAGGAAAAGTGGGTTAGCGGTAAGCAATTATTTGATCGTCAATCTTTTTCTTTTGATTTGTTTATCGTTAGCGATCGAAAGCGTTGTTAAGAAATTGATTCAATTAGTTGATTTTTGTAATTTTCCTCGGTCGGGATCTCATTTTCAAGTTAAATTGTTTCAAAACTCGGTTCAAGTTAGTCTATTCTAGGTCATCGTCACCTAAGCACTGTTGGCTATTCGTACTGGACACTGGGTTATTTGCTGTCAAGAAGTGGTGCTGAGAAGTTGCTAGCAGGTGATGCACTGAAGAAGATGGTACCGGTTGACGAGTACATTCCGATAATGTTCGATCAACATCCGAACGCGACCTGGAAAGAGGCATTTCCGAAGAGAGATCTAATTGCTTACACAATATATCCAACGATCGTCGTCCCTGAACGGTACACAAATGAGATGGGATATATCAGCGATACTGAGGATTCCTTCGTCATTTCACAACAACCGCAAACGACCACTCATCGTTCTGAACATGAAGAAGAACTCAAAGATGAACTTTAAGTTGGTTCATTAAGGGCATTTAAATACTATTCACATTTCGATGTAATAACTTACAATCTTTTGAAAACACTCTCAACTATTGCTTTAAATTTGAATCGCTTTATTATTAATTTTAATGAATCTCAAGTTTGTGGTGCTTTACCTATGAATTGTTATTGTTGATGTTTTGTTGTTGGTGTTTTATAGGTGCTTGTTTTACTGCATTGTAAATGCTTGCTGATCTACCAAAACTGTTTCATTTTCGTTTGGTATTCTTCTCTTCAAGAAGAGAAATGTTCACTTTGCAAGTGTTAAAGTGTAATAAACATATCATGTTCATCGAAACGACCGTTCTCAATCAATCAGCACGTTTCATTTGCTATGCTCTTGTTATAATCAGTTCGAAATTATTACTTGATATAATCCATCTGAAAAACAAGCTGTTCTGATGAATAACCATCGCTTGGTGTATGGATTGGTTGGTACGCAATCGAGTGAATTCTACTTCCAGTGAAACACTTCGTCATCGATAGAAACGTGTTCGTGTAAATAAATCAGTGTTGGATGGGGTGTGTTTGTGGAAAAGCGGATTTGGAAATTGACGAGAGGCAATTCAGGATTGATAGATTACTCGCGAAAGGGTAATTGTAATCCTCGGTTTATACAAGCAAACAATCTTTCCGATCAGATCACCTGAGCACTACACCTTCCGTTAAATTCATTCCATCTGTTCAGTTTAAATCAGCTGCACTCGAATGAGTAGCGCTTAACAACTGAAAAACAATTTGTAGAGGGTTCAGTGAAGTGTTCCTCGTAACAGAGGTAACTTCGTCAGCTAATAATAATCAGAAATGGGCACTGAAACGAATCGAATGTCATTCGAAAGAAGACGCAAAACGTGTTCTCCTCGAAGTCGATATTCATCGCCGTTTCGGCTCACATCCGAACATACTCGCCATCGAGTGCTTATGTGATGAACAGCTGAATGACAGTGTTCGACGATTCTCGCTTATATTCACTTTCTTCAAGGTTTTATTATTAAGAGATTCATTCTCACCTTAATGATTTTGTGATCGAAAAGTTTTTGAAAGTAACATCTCGGCATCATTTATGAAGGATCTATTTTGCGCGGTGTTCTTCCCAGCGATACTTTAGATCAAGAGAAGTGAGCGGCGGTTCAGCACGCATCCAGCATTCTAGGAATGATCAGATTTTGTGCTTTTATGCGACTTCCCAATATTCATGTCCAGTCTGGACGACTGGTCTAGTAAGCTATTGCCATTGCTCTTAGTGCCAGGCAAATATCAGTGAAACTAATGAATAATCTTACAGAAAGGAACACTCCAAGATGAACTTTGTTTGAGGCGTACTCACACTGATTACATTGACCAAGAGCGTGTTCTGCGATTATTCAGTCAAATCTCAAATGCTTTATCATTCCTTCATTCCGCTTCGCCTCCCATTGCACATAGGTCAATATCTACTTCTTGATTGAGATAACACTTCATTCAATTTTACCTCAATCACCTAATCTTAATCTTCTGAGTGTATGAACTCATTAGTCGATCGTTTTTCTGTACGACATTTAATAGTTCAATGAATTTCATCACTCACTTGAATTTGACCACTCGCTTTATTGGCATGTATGAGGTTGATTTGGTCTGAGTAAAAGATTCGTGAAATTTAAGAAGCGAACCTCGTTCTGTGCTTATTTGCAGAGACTTGAAACCGGGCAATGTTCTGATCAGCGGTGACGAACGTCCAGTTCTAATGGATTTCGGTTCATGTTGTGAATGCCCGATTTTCATCGAAAACAGCAAACAGTCACAGTTTCAACTGGTAATTGGCATTCTGTTTATCGTTTTATGAGAGAATGATTTTGATATTGTGAAAGAACGGAGAATTACCACGGAAGAATAATGAAATTCAACGAAAATTAAGGATGAATCCGCTGAACTTTGTTCAATGCCTTATCGCGCACCCGAGCTGTTCGTTTGTGCGGTTGGGTCTGTGATTGATCANAGTTGTTTAGATTCTCTGTGAAACTTATTCTAAATAGTCAACGTAAACATTTGATACGTTAAAATCAGTTGATTCAAATAAGAGAAACTGATGGCGACATCACATTTATCCATGAAGTTTCAAGCATTTGTGAACTGAAGCGCGTTGGAATAAAGAACAACCAACGTGAATGCATTATTCAGTTGTGTTCATTTTCAGTCACTGGGTTGTGTTTTGTATGCGATTTGCTTCTTCCGATCACCGTTCGATGATATTCATGAGAGAGGTGACAGTATCGCGTTGGCTGTACAGTCGGGAAAAATCAACTTCGATAAAAACCATCCGTTAGCATTTTCATTTTTTGATTTCCATTCTTAACCATTTATCGAATTTTCCTTCCGATATATTGTTCCGAACTTCTGAAAAATATTATATTGAAATCTTGCTCAGCGACGTTTGTCATAAACGATAAAACCTTAAGAGATATTCCACGTTCGAAAGAACGACGTTCACTGGTGTGTCATACGATTCCTTCTGTTTTCAGGTTCTCTTCGAAAGTTCTTGATTTGATTTTGACGTTGCTTAAAGTTGAACCGAAAGATCGACCAACCATTCAGACTGTTTGCAGTGAACTTATATACCGATGCGAACAAGCATAACTAACAACCTGATCCTATATTGTTGATTATGAATTCCTCATTGAATTATTCACTCATTACTCACCTTTCTGCATTTTCTATTTTTATTTCTAATAAAACTGAATATCCGTCAGATAAACGCTGTGTTGGTTTTGATTGTTTTTGGTTCGAGTTTAGTTCGATGTAACTCCTTCAAATCTAATAGTAAGTGACTGGTAGTGAAAGAATTCAGTGGAGAATGTATGGATTAAACATGGATCACTGCACCATCCGATTCGTTTGAGCGCTAATAATCCCACGAACATGAATATTTTCTGCCTTTGTATCTCGCACTCTAACGTCAGAATGCGTACTGAAAAGGCTTTACGCATTCTGACGTAAGAGTGCGAGATAGAAAATGCGATTAATTCTTATGAAACATGAACTGATTAGGAGATTTACCATCAAGCAGCATGTACACTAATACGACCGAAGTGAAGAATCGATGAAACACTTAACAACTACGGTAACAAAATTCCGTCTGATCCAGTACAGATTCAGCATCTCTCACGAACGGATTACACGACACATTTGCGTTCAGCAAGTATGCGTACGTAATTTTACACCAAATGTTAATTGCAAAACTCCGAGCACTTTTCAGTTCCGGGATCATTTCTCAATCGCACGATAATCCACGCATTGAGCAACTTCAGAATCAAGTTTTCAACACATTCTTCTTCAATCAGTACATTCATATTGGCTTGTAAAACAGTGCATTAAACGAATCACAAAGGGAGTAGCAGCAAATCATTTTGAAATCTGTAAATAAAGCGGCGAGGGAGGATTTTAGAAGATATACTTTTGAAAAGGCTAGGAACGTACTTCAATGGTATGCACTCACCTACACTACGGACTAGTGATAGCAACCGAACGACGGTCGGTTGGAATTCCGACTATCGGCAATTCAAAATTTCAGTTCAATCGGATTCCGACCGAACAATTCTGATAGTTGGTCGAAATTTCGACTGTCAGAATGCTACCGAAATTTCATATCGGTTGGATTCCGATCGACAATTCAAGATGGGTATATTGCCAACATTGTAGAAAATGCATTTTACCAAATCTTGAAGTCCTGGGAATTTTCGGAATATGAATGCTGGCATTGGGATTGAGAATGAAAAGTAGAGATTCTGAGAATTTGTACTCTTGAGCCTCGATCCCGATTAAATAATCCATTAAAGTAATTGCTCGATTAACTTCACCTATATTTCAGTGATCAATAAGAAAGATTAATGATGCATACGACTGCTGACAAGAGTGATAAGTTTGTCGAGGTAATCTTCAGATTGTGTTCTCCTCTGATTCGATCTGATCTTTTAATCATCTAATAATAAGTATCTAAAACGAACTGCATTCAACCATCCTCCTACAAAACTTTCTTTACAGCAGTCTGCCTCTTCATATAATACTCTTATGATATTTTCAGATGTTTTATCAACCGTTCGAAATATTAGTCTAGTCGTTTGATGCATGAAGAAGATGGGTCTGTCACGAGAATTTCAAGTGTGTGTGCTGAAATGGAGACAAGACGATAATTGTGGTGAATCAGGATTTAGACGAGTCAGGATTTAGATGATCTTATCGCTGATCGTGCTTTGCACTCGGCATTCTCAATAAGATGCCACATTCCATACATTTATATTCCATATTCCCGATCATTTCCCATCATTACCGCGAGTATTACCAAATCACATCTCATTCATTTTCTGCTTCGTTCGTTACTGTCATTATTCACCGTTCCATTTCATAAAAGCAAGTTTGTTTGTTCGTCTCACTTGCGAATGTTCATCAAAACAGTTCAGAGACATTTCAGCATATCAGCTGAATTGATAATAATGGTATATGCTCTCTGATTTTGAGCGACAGATTGATTGAAAGTCTGCCTTCTCATTCCCCAGTGAATAATCATACTTTCGTGTAATTATTAAAAGTTATCTGTTGGAAACGCCGATTCCAAACGCATTCAATTATCACTTGATTATTTGAAATCGAAAAAAAAACACCATGTATGTTTTGTCTTTTTGCTCACATCGAACGTTTCAATTTTGTCTTTTCATATTTCTTACATCGAATTGGAACCTTCAAATTTCAAATGGCCCATATCAACGTACTCTTTCAGTAACTTATTATAATCTTCACATGCAGTTGTTATCTTATTCAGTCAAGTGAGTCGAATAAAATTCGTTCAGCAAATTCGAGCAACTCCAGCAAATTCGTTCCATTGCTTAGAGAGTCATTGTTTGATCGCATCTTAATTTCACAATATGTTGTTCTTCTCTTGAATATTTCACAATATATCCACATGACATCCAGTTATTTTATTTTATTGCCTCATTGATTCCCAACGTCTTCAGAAGCACGAAGAACGTTCACTATTCATTATCAAATAAGCAGAAATACAGAAGAAAAACAGTGTTAATTGTGCATAATTGTAGCGTGATAAGAAAAGAGGTGTTAACTGTAGTGTGCACTAACATTGTGATTTGTGCTATGAAGATCAGTGTATCAGATGAACATTTTTCTCGAGTATCTAATCTTCATTTATCATTTGCGATCATTCCTATGATCCAATCGAGATCCTCACGCCATTCTTTTCGTGGTGATTCAATTTTCCGTTTCGTTTATAATTGACACTCGTTATTTCTTACTTTCAATGACTGATTTCTGACTTAAAAAGTTCTTACGACTTTTCACATCGACAAAGTCTGAAAATGTATGCTCGCCCTAACATTACGAAGTGTACTTGCTAACACACTCCCAAAAAATAATATCGTATATGCAGTGTTATCCACTAAATGAAACTGTTCACAGATGCGGAGTATGTTCATAAGAAATCGATGAAAGATCACTCAGTTGAACGAAGACTGTTTGTTTTCAGAGCTGAAATATCGAGATTGAAGTTATGAAAAAGGAAGTTCAGTGAATTTATGCAAAATGTCAGAAAGTTTGACTTCGTTGAGATCAGTGAACGAGATTCAAGATCGAATATTCGAGCAGCATCAAAATGCCGAACGTATTCTACCAACAAACTCCAAAATCGTGCAGAATCGATTATCTGATTTCAGTTAGTTCCTTACATTCTGTCCCTATCTGCAAGATTATGATCTTTGCACAACCAGCCATCAACAATCGCAGACTCAGTGTTTTCAGAATTCTCAGATTGATTTGATTCATTCCCGAGTAGAGTTGTTCAGTTCTGAGCTTAGCGTATATCCTGTAATTAAGGTCTGTCTTATAATGCTCCCAAGTGCTCATCGTCCGATCAAATGTGCGCAAAAATAAAAATTTCAAAGTATCCCGGATGTGAAAGTTAATTAGTTCTGAGTGAGAATAAACGAATGTTTCTTTTAAAAACAATCACAAAACTTCCTTCGTTCGAAATTCTGTCGGTTGTCTCACAGCCGACAGTAAATCAACGTTGCATTATCACGAACCATGGCATCACGCATCGCATTTGATCAGTGGTTCTCATAGGGGGTGAAATTACTCATTTTGGTTAATTTGGAGATGTCAAGGAGTAATGGAGGGGGTCGGAAAATTACTGTTGTGTGCAGTTGTGATGTTATGATAGAACGCCATTGTGATGGTGTTTTTTAACTCGAGTATGTAAATGCGGTTAGTTGATGGCAACACTTTTCATTATCCTATTTTCTGAGTATCATTAGTCCGGGCCTAACATGGTTTTCATTCGTTTTGACAGGATTTTCATTCTTTTCCTTGCTGCTATAATCACTCTCATAGCTTTTATCACCAAAAGTGTTCTCTTCTGCTAATTTCTCATTCATTTCACTCAACAATTATAGTCAAATTCTCATTCTATCAAACACACTCTGTAATTGATCATTTGATTGTCGAATGTTGTTGACCAATAATATTCGACTGCTGTATTGTTAATTTCGGCTGTCAACACTCGTCAACGTATCTAGTAAATAGTATATGCTACAGAATAAGAAATTGTTTCGAGGTGTGAAGCGAAATGAGATGAAGTGAATGAGAGAAAGTCATCATAAAACGGTATTCGCATGAAATAGCTATGAGAGTGAATACAACACGTCTGAAAAGAATGAGAACCCATCTAAATCAGTTCGAAATGAGCGTGTCATAGATAATAGCTTTTCATGCAGTCATAATCCATTGCAGTATTGCGCAATAGAACGGTCTAGGACAGTGATGTTAAGTTTTTGCATCAGGAAGGGGGAGGGATATCGGCGGCCTACCAGATTATCAAAAGGGGTAATGGAGCACCCGAACGTGAAAACCACTGCATTAGCTCATCATGAATTCTCATATTGGTATCATATCATCTCATCATCATTATTATATTTTATTGAATTATCTTTATCATCATTTTATCATCTCATTTTTCTATTGATACTTTTGGGAGAATTTTCTTTTCAAATTGTAGCAAAACAAAAAAGAGGCTCATGAGAACGTCGAAACATAAGCAGATGAATGTTTAAATGATACAGAATTTGTGCTACTAACGATAAGTATTTCTTGAAATAAGTCAGAATTTATCTTCCAAACGAAATTCAATTCTGATAAAAATTCAGTGAATTAAACAGCGTTGATACTTGAAGTGTGTTGATTTGCTAATCGTTGCAATAATCATAGAAGCGTTGAGCAAGCGATTTGCTTAGATTACTGAATGAAATTCTGCATTAAGAAGATGCTTTAAGCTGATGCATATGCACGCTTAAGGAGTTTAACATTTGGCAGCAGGATTTGAATGAATTGAACGAAGTGAAGTTGAGTGTGGAAGGAATTATCATCATAAAAGATTAGTGAAACAAACGGAGTGGAAGTAATACCATATGCGATGCACTTGTGACTCGATGTGATTTTGATCATCGAAGATAAATGAATTCTGATCACACTCAGGGAGGGGCAACAGCATTCTAAAGTTCAACCAAATTTCGTCCGTGATTAATCTCAAGTCTCAGTGCCTACCTTACCACTTTATAAGATATTTCTGCCAAAAATTTCTTGATCATTTAAAGAAATGACGACAGATGTGGACAAATTTACGCTTTTTCAAAAATTATAACACTTCACATCCTTCAGTACACATGCAATGCTCTATGGGAAATGGCAGCACATCAGAGTTCGCTTTTAAGTCATTCATACCATCATATCTTATCGACATCTTCATGAGTGCTCGTTACAGTTAGATTTTAGCAATATTGTAGATCAGATGAGAAATTATTTGATTATATTCACTATGAAACAACACTTCAAGAAAAGAGCGATAATGGTGCTAGCTTCGTTGATTGCTATGTTTTGGGCAGTGCAATGCTCAGAAGAATCGCATAGCTTGAATTCAATAAAGCATTCTCCATTCATAATGACATGAGGGATCGAAAAAATTTTCAACATGTTGAAAAGGCAGTTAACACAAACAGACGGTTGAAAGGATTGAGATCATGTTCGATGCTTACAGCCCGTGATGCATCACCGTCATCAACAATTCATTCGTCCAGAGTTGCAATCGAATCGATACATTTCGATTCGACTGAAGCTCAGACTGTGAAACTTTATGAATACCGTGGTAAGAGGGTCGCTGGATTCGAAGTGTTCGGCCGTCAAATGATTTGCTTACCACAGGTGATTTCTTTGCAGAATCGTTGTTCACCACTTTCATCATTCTGCGATCGATCAGATCACGTCGTAGTACATTCATGAAAACTATCAACGAAAGCACTTGAATGCCATGGCATTCGATTCACTTTCAGCTCTATGAAATATTCCTGAAAAACCTTGTCGGAGGATTGCATACCGTTTATACGAAACTGAAACGACTTGAAATTCGACCAGTTGTTTGCAGTGTTGAACAAGTTTGTTTGAATTGAGTCTCTTTTAGTTTTTTGAGACCGTTTCTTTGCATAAGGCATATAGGTGAGAATATGATAATTACAGAACAATGATGATACTGATTAGTGCATATGAGGAAACTGCAGAGAAAGATTCATGCAAATCCGACGGAGATGGTAAGTAGCAATTTTGCGGTAGGTCCCACAAAACGAGGTTCACCTCTGGCCTTCGAAGGAGAGAACCGGGAGATGTCCCATTGTCAACATTGTGTTAACTATGTCTACCCAAAGACACATTTCACAGGGTGATAGTTAATCAGAATCGAATGACAGATGCTGGTCTGATATTAACAAGAGAAGTGAATTTAAGGTTCGTGCTTTGAGAAGTTTAGGAGCTATACAACCGGGTGTGAATCGTTGTAAATTGATCTCTTCTGCTGATTTCGACCGTCTTTATGGAGATTGTCACAGTAGTTGGTAGGGTTCTTTGAATACTCACTTGGACACTTTCACGTTTAATTCTCTGCTAAGTTTACTGTCATTTTCAATGAAATTCATGCGATTGCATGCAATCAAGAGGTGCTTATTATGGGAGGCGGAAAAAAATTTGAAAAACTCCGAAATCACATCAAAATTTCAGTTCGCGTCCAGGTCGACCAGCGAAACGTTATTCGTTGGAAGCTTTGAGTAGCGAAGTTGCTAAACGGGAGAAAATCGAGAATAAAACGTTCGATCCAGGTAATTCAATGGACTGTAACTGAGTGAAGAATGATCGATTGACGGTGATGAGTAATTAATGTTGTTGAATAGGAACAAGGTTATTAATGATGAGTACAGAATGCACAAAATCAATCGGTGAATGGAACAGCAATAATGATAGTAACAGTGATGTGGTTAATCGAGAAGATGAAAGCACAGCAACATCATCTCTAGCTAATGCCACCTCGAGGTCGCACGACAGGTTTAACACTACTTCATCACCACCACCACCACGAGGTTGTGCCGTTTTAGCGTTGAACTTTGTTTGAGGATATCATAATTGTGATTGCATCTCATCAGACAAATCCTTGTTGCATGTGAATTAGATTCGCTTACTTGACTCGTTCACTGCTTGCCTTCAGCATTCATTGCTAGCACTGACTGATCCTCTTTCAGTTCAGATGTAATTTGCAACTCACTTATTTCGTGAACGATCGTACTGAGACTATCGATCGCGTTTACTGAAATTATCCAATCCAAATTAAATTACTCACCATCGATATAACATTATTCAATACTCAGAGGTCATCCGAACTGCTGAACAACGGCCAAATTTTATTTTAGTTCAGTGGCCAATATCAAATAATGCAAATTTTCGAAATTTTTGAGCAAACTTCGGGAAACGTTCTGAAACTTTGTTTCGGAATCACTCCACTATATGAAACACTATTCCGCCATATGAAACACTTACAAACTATTGCACCATCAAAAAAAGTAGCTCCAATGTTAGCAGAATATACTGCGTTATTGCCCATCACTGGTTTTTCGCTTGAAGCGGATGAATCGCATAGAAACTTTCACGTGAGAATGAGGATTGCGTAGTTGCTGTAGAGGAGTGCGAGTTCATTTTTAAGTGATCTGATTCCATTGTTCAATTCTAACAGCTCCAATGGCGCCATTGTCGCTGCCATGCTGCTCATTCATGGTTACAGTCAGTCACTGTCATCACATCACTGATCGATATACATTGTAATTCACGGATTTATTGCTTGTTGTTCTGATTGAAATCGATCACAGTGCAATTATTAGGGGCAGTAATGTTTCAAGAAATTGACTTCCATCTTAGTCAGAGAAATTTCACGTGCTATATTCAAATCAGAATGCTATTTCACCGCAAATAAAATTTTAAAAACTTTCATTCTACACTATCGCCCCAAATTTGTATCGCAGCGATTGCGCGTTGTTGTTGTGCTTCGCATTGCCTAAAGACTGGCAGCATAACATTTCAATAAACCAATCTGAATTCACCGATAGCATGAAGATGCAGTTTCTGTGTGCTGAACAACGTCCCATGCATCCCATCGGTGTTCCGAATAATCTCATGTCTGTCGCGTACCGTGACGAATATAATATAGCGACAGCGATTTGTGGCAGTGCTGTGAAGGGATCGCTTGCGCTCTTTTTGTGAGGTGCTTACGGTAGGTAAGGTTTTCTTGATTTTCGATTTGTTTCGTTTGTGCGGGTGCACATACAGCCGACACGGTATGCTTCTTTGCATGACCCATAACGGTTCGTTGCACAGCTGATAGCGACAATGACGTTACTTCAGTTGTTAAGAAGAGGCAATTAGTTCATACGATGCGATATTGTCGGGGAGTGCATCGCTTACTGTAGAGGATTCCGAGGTTTGTAGGAGTCTCATAATCAGTTGGATTTCAATGCCAGAATGTTTGCAAAAGCTTCTGTTTGCAAATATATTTTGCAAAAGCTTCTCTTCGATTTTTCAAGTACTCAATTTTGGAACTGTTAATTGTCCTGAATGCTATCCAGTAGCGTTGTATGCCAAATTTTAGTAGTAATTGACGTAGTTAGAAAGCAACCAGTTGTACCAGTGAAGAACGCGTAAAATGTGATCAGTTTGATTCTACCGGCTGCATGCACGATCACTTCCTCGATAATGGCAAAGTATGAACTGAGTGAAAACATGGCAATGACTGTTGTGATATGATGGTATTAGAACCACAAACATGAAGCTAGCGATTATCAGAACGTAAAAACAGTAATGAGTAGCGTTCGATTGCGATCTGATAACGGCAGCAATCATTCAAATGATCACCTTAATCAGTGGAGTGTTGCTGAATTGTAAATTTCATATTTTTATTCCGATCGTGATTGCTCCACTTACCGCAACTTGTTTGATCGAATGATATCGGTGTAAATATTCAGTACCACAAGAAATGGATCAAAGTGGATCAGGATGTGAGGTTGGCGCTGAATGCAGTAGCAGTGCGAATAGCGTACTGGCAGCCGATAACAACAATCGTGATTCAGTATCACAAAACGGCCAGACGCAGTTATTCTTAACACTACTACCATTCACCACCCAGCAATTGCTCATGCAAACAATGATCACAAACGCTGCCGCTGCAGTCGCATCTCAGCAGCAACACATCCAACAACAGAATAAACAACAAATTGGCAATCAATTAAGACCGTCAGTTGTCATTTTATGAACACTTCGGGTTAATTGAAGAAGTTGTGTGATCACAAAAATAGATTTGTTCGTTCCCCAANCCCACAGAATTCTAGTAATGAATGATTGCATTTTCAATTATTTCCCTCGCATTGTTAGTCGGTTTAAACATCAAATTAAACTTCTGCGATCATCACTTTCTTTTTGGATCATAATAATTAAGAAGTCCAATTTATTCGAGAATCATTAAAGGTATTTATATTATAAGTATGAGCATTTGTCAGGAATAAATTATGGGTGAAGATATTGATGGTTTATTGTAAAATAACAGTTACAGAGAGGAGAGCGAAAGTTCATCATCATCGTTGAACGCAAAGAGTATCTCACCGCCAGGTGCACCAATGAATCTAACAAAAGGAAATAACATCGACACTGAGTCGATTGATCGAAATTTAAGTGATCAATCGGCGAATCCGTCATTCACAGACGAGAATTCCTCCTCGAATCAGGTACATTATCAGATGGATCTCAGTATCCAAAGGTGTATCAACCTGTAGCAATCAGGCTTCATCATTCATTCACAAGGCGACTGTGTTACTGTCACCGCAATCGATTATCTTTCATCGAAGATGCCAAGTCATGACTGCTCACTGCAGCAGTCACAATACCATATTGATAAACTTCTGTTATGTTCGAGTTCCGTACATTTCTAGTCTAAAACTTCAAAGATGGGCAACACTATATTTCGGATTGTATGGAATAACATTAACGTTCGCATGGTAATTATGCCAGAAGTACCGAGCTCTCTCCTCACATATATATGCCAATTTGATCGGTGATATCCGTGTGTTTATGCAGTTGATGATTTGAATGCAGTCAGTTCAGACACAAGAAGTGTTTCTGACAAAAACGAGTTTGTGAGGGAATCTTTGCTCAACTGAATTGTACTGATTACAGAACACTCCAACGGAAGGAGAGCAAGCGTTGCAATTCGCACTGAGTAAACTGGTCGGTCTCATCGAAGTGGCAACAACCAACTTCAAGGCACAGCGGGATATAATTGATAACGAAAAAAGTACATTTCCACTTTAAATGTGATTTCGTTTTGTAGTTTTGATAAACTGATCAGTGGACTTGAAATTGTATTACATTCACGGATGTGGTGGTTATCACGATGAATGAAATTCTTTAAGAAATTCCACAACGCAATCAATCAATTCGCTTTTTTAAGCCTTCGCACAAAAATTACAAACAGAATTGGATGCGCTCCGAAAGAGTGAAGAAAGGATGAAACATAAGCTAGCACAAGAGGAACGCAAGTCAAGTTCGGTTTTTCGTTTAGGTTTTATCTATTGCAACTGTCATTCTCTTGAATATGATCCAGAATGCTATTCGAATCTCTTCAACGGAATTGGTCAATAATATGAGAATATTCATCTTAACTCGTTCAGGAACGTACTTTCGACGATTCTGCCGAGCGAGACAAGAGTCGCTGGATCTTCAATCGCGATTAGCTCAAATGAATGAGCGTAAAAGACTTCAATCCATATGAGACCGTGACATTGAAGCAGATTGACTTCAGCGCCTATCAAAGGACCTTCTTGAGGGATCAGGATATACAGCGAAGACGAGCAATAGCTGTCCAAATGCAGTTCTTAAAATGGCTTTGCCCAACACTCTCCGACTCGCTCAAAACTGTTCTAGTCTTTCAGTCGTTCTGTTCCGTGACTTTCTTGATTCTAAATGTATTTTGACTCCATTCCATCTTTTCCCTTCTTGATACATGCTAAATTGAATTCATAGAAAAACTTAGTAACATATCCATTTGTTAGGTTCAAAACATATATAACAANATAACAACAACTGTGTGAATGGATATTTAACCGTTGTTTTCTGCATGCGGTCATTTTTGAACGGCGAGAGGGTCGTTGAATGGAAGCAGTAGATAAGATCACTGATGCGTTATATTCATGACGTATTTGAGAAGATTCTGTGCGATTCTATAGCCTCTCAAGCAGCCGTGCTAAGCAAGCTTCGATAATTCAAGGTATTTGTGAATACATTCCTAAAAACTTGAACTACAATCAAAGATACCGACCGGTCTAATGCATCCTCAATGGAACGATCGGAATGGAATCAGTAGGGTGACGCTAAAAATGAAGTTTCGTTCCGAAGTGCAATTAGATATCTCATGAAGAGATAGATCACTGTTCACGATCACTCTTCCATGCATCAATTAATCTGCTGCAGTCGATACAAAACAAAACCGAATTGTTGAGTATGTACGATCCAATCTGCCGAATTTGTCGGGTTGAAATGATGCTACGAAGCGGTTGATTGTGACTCAACTGTACGCGTATATTTGAAGATTGAAATTTTTTCATCCAAAATTATACTTGCTATCTCAACGAATCACTGTCAATGTTTTATTTTCATCTCCAAACGATAATCATTGTTACTGAAATTATAACTCTTTTTCCAATTCTAATTTTCTTGAATATCCATTTGTTGCTCTGTCGTTTCAAAATATACGCATGATTATAAAAATTTATATTTCTTTACTTCAATTCACATCGCTCTGTAACATATGGATTTTCTTTTCACGATGACACTGTATTTAAGAAAATCATTAAGGAGTTTACAGTAATTAAATTAAAGAAGCATGCAAAATTTTCGTCGAGAAAGCGCATTTATTTGTTTATTCGAATGAGATGGAACAAAGAAGATGCAAGATTCGAAATTATCAACTTTAGAAATATGAAATGTGATTATTAGGATCAATAAAACAACGTTAACAAGATACTTACTCCCTTGCTCTGAACTCACCAATCCAACAGAGACGACTAAAGTTACACAAGTTCAGTAAGGTAAGAAGATGAATCGTAAAAACGAACGAGGTACGCATTAAACACAGAAAGGCAATGTAAAAAATATGTTGAAAGAAATCTTTATAGAGCACTGGAATAATACTAAAACATCGTNATAAGAAATGGGACGTTGCAACGCGAATTGAACAACACTTAAAAATCGACAACGAAGACAAATTGTGGAAACAACAAAATAATGCGCAGGAATGTAAGCCGTTAGAATGTAACAGTGACGACAGAAATTGTCAGAGAAATAAGCAAATGTTAATGAATAAAATCGCCTGGTGCGAGCTAATCTTTAAGCGATAAAAAAGATGCATGAGGCAAACCAAAGCATCTACAGTTCCAGTTATTACTACCATAAAAAGCGATTCAAGAACCCCTTTGATTGGAAAAAGTGAATTTCAGCGAGAAATTGCGAAAGTATTCAAGAGAATTTTTGGAATTAGAAAACTTTTAATCAATCATTTTGAACTTTCTGCACAATTGATTGCGATGCGTTCTCGTTTCGAATCCCAGGATTATTTCTCATATAATTCTACTGATGAATTTCGAGATTGTAAGCCATTGTTTCGTTACATCAAATTTGTTCATAAGTACGAGTAACAGTGAACTCAGTTCATCTTAGAGTCAAGTAATTCTTGCGTCAGCTCTTCAACTTCACGTATTTCGATACTCTGAAATATGCATCAACCGATCACTATTCGTGCCATTTCAGGTGAACTACGGTAATGCCATAAAATCATTTCTCCTTGTACCTATGCCAAAAGTGCTCATCTAAAATGCATTTTGAGAACGTTTAATCACTTCAATCAACTACGAACAGTGCAAGAGATACAAAAAGAATATACAATAAATACCCTTGTCAGTTGACACTCCCTCACCAGATTGTTCCTACTGCCAGCATACAGCATCTGCACATCTGGACAGCAATCTAAATAATACAACGTACACTTAATCAATCATTCAGCCACATTCAAACCAAATGCTCATAATTTAAAGGGAATGAATGAAGGCTGACAAAAGGCGATCGTCACCTGAAGGTGTGTAGAAAATGAGACATAGCGGGAACGACTCACGACCATCCGAATGTGTTAGTTTGTAACTGATGAGAATATATCTGGGTTGTTGCGATGGTAATTCATCACAAATCTCCTCAATGGTGCAATCCTTAATGTATCACATATCATTTCGAACATTTATGTATATCAGAATAGTGATGAGAGCGTCAGCTTTGTAGCATAATTCCATTCAGTGATAACTATCATGAACAGTGCATGCGTTGTCATTGTGANATCAATATTATTAAAGTCCTCATTAGATCTCATATTCTTGGCATCAATTGAGTGTCGATACGTGGAATTTGAAGAAAATTAAAGCGATAATGCAAAATCTTCTAGAAAGCGAACTTCCTTAGGAAAAGAGCTAAAAGTTTTGTCTAAAGTGCTTACTTCAAGTCGCTCATCAATCAACAGTTTCTGGTCGTTCCGGTCGATTTTCACTGAAATTTTCAACTCTTCACTAAAATGTTCATTCGTTTTTAATCGAGTATGAATAGAACATACTGACTGTTCATGTAATGCTTCAAATATATGAACATCACCGGCGGAACCGTGAATTTTGCAGCAATTTTGATTAATCAGCGAAACGATAACTGCCCCACATAATTTCTGTTCAAAATACGTAAACTTGTCTTCTTTAGAGAATGGAATACACTAATTGTAAGCTAACAACTGATCAAATGAAATGAAACTGCTGCAAAATGACTGCGTATTCCAGAACTGGAACTGAATATGATTTGGGGGTATCATGAACAAATCAAAACTTCTGAATGTGGCAAAAAAGTCCCTTAGTGTTTGAATATACAAGTTGATATCTTCGAAGAAATCGAATGAGCATTTCCATTGATATGCAATACGAGTCTTGATGAAGCTTTATCATTTGATGGTTCATAATCAATAGAATACGCTGATAATAAGCATTTTATGCCATAGAAAGACTTACGAATAAGTGCATTCGTATTGCGACTTTTACTGAAGCGAAATTGTTGCAGTTCGTTTTTGAGTTCATTTGGTACCTCACAAATTGCTAGTGTACCACTCTGAATGCAATGCACATCAATTGTTGTTGAAACTCAAGTGAAATGATGGACTGCGGATTGTTGTCGAAGTGAACTCGAGACAATCACCAAATACTATCACCACTAGCAACGCCATACTAACAAGCTGCACTTTTCAGTGTCGCCTTCAGCTCACAACTCCCACCCAAATTTAACTGAATTTGTAATCGAGTGCAGAGTATTCTCACGAATCAAATGCACGTATTTCTGATTCGAAAGCGACTCCTCATTAGCAGCAAACCATATGCGTGAACTTAATGGGAAGTATTTTGCAAAAGAAAATGGTGACAAGAGATATAGCAAATTTCAAAGAGATAACAAACCATTGCGACTTGACACGAAATAACAACACCAAATGGATGAATGTAAACTATGCTCGACTTGTTGTTCAATTGCTCCCTGAACACTATGACAATAAACAACTGCTTTTCAGAGTAATATGAACTCGCCACTGTCAAACACTCACTCAGAAAAGCATTTATTTTTTGTTGAAAGCGTTCTTTTTGGAACGGAATTCTGATAACTTCTTGTAANATCCGAAATATTAATAATCTTCTACTTTATGCGTCTCAAATGATCATTCGATACAATAATGTCGTATTATCGTAACAAGATCGGCGTGATAATTCTGAGAAAAGTAATATATTCGAAAGAGAAGTATGACTGCAGATAGCTGCTTTGCCCAGTTGGAATATACAATGCGAGTTTGCTCTAAAATGACTGACTGTTTTGTTATTTTATCTCAATATGTGCTCTTCTCTCGTTGTGATTCAAAGAGATAAAAGAGTACCCATTGCTAATATGCAATCTGCTTGAACACATCAGAATTTGATCCCTTAATCGGGCATTCCGACAGTGCAATGTTAACGACTGTTCAAAGATATGACTGGTTGACAAGAACAAAAAAGAATTTGGAAATAATGACCAGAAACGTAATCAGTGAAAATAAATTAGTTTATTTCAGTGACTTTTCAGTAGACAATAATAATGATACACAATCACTAGTGCGTGAATTTTGCACAAAAAATACGTACAAAACGCTGAAATTTTACGAAGTTCTGCACGTTTCTCAATAACTGCATAACGTCACGTTTCAAATGAGAAATGCAACGCTAAACGACTAGTAAAGCGAATCGATAAAGCTAATTTACTCATCAGTGAACAACAACTAAACTAAATTTGTAACTAACAAAAAATTCAGCATCAAAATGACAACGAGAATCTGCTCTCAAACACAATTGTACATCGGCCACATTATATGACTTCGACATGATTGGATATCACAATGATATCCCCGGAAAGTACACGTTAAACCATAAGTAAGAGAAGAGGGTGAGAACTCAGTGAAGTATAATTCGAGAATGAATCAAATGAATCGTACATTACATCAGTCATATACGCAACTGCTACACCTCATATGGGATGTTAAGATGCCAATAAATTAATCCATTGTCTGAACCCTAGTCAGCAGCAACACAACGAGATTCTCACAGAGAACGAAACACGAGACACGGCAACGGCACGTCATCATCATCGAATCGCACAACAATAATAAACACTAATCAAGCCATAATCACAACCATGAACTCAAATAACAATTCCAATAAGAGTGTTAATGCCATGATGGTATTTCAAATCCATGAAAACAACAAAACAACGAACACAACAGCACAACTCTAACGACAAATAAACGAATCACACGGAATATGTAGGTTTCAGGACGAAGGTGTTGTTGTTGATGGAATGCGTGAACGGAGACAATCCCTCCATTGCACTATCGCTTCTCATCCCACCAAACATGATAATCTCACCTCGTCCCACACATATCGAATACAATATCGTATCTTCTGGTGCATTCAACTCCAACTTTTGTTCCTGCCATCTGCAATCATCAACTTCAGTGATCCCTTATCAAGTCTTCAATTCCATCTTCTATCATAATTAATACTCTTCGCTTCGAACAATATTCACAACAAACAAAAACTAACCCGACTAAATTATCATCTTTAATTGAATCAATCAGACTGTCATTGAAGATATCAATTCATCGAGCATTATATAATATTATATCCAAAAATATATCGCTGAACATTTCAAAGCCACCTTTCAAAACGATAATATCATAAATAACCTTGCAGTACGTTCAGACAGCACACGCGACAGATCAAGAACGTAAGCGGACATGAGACGACGTGCTAGAAAGCCGTTGTTGGTATTATGTGATCCATATCTACTGTTTGCATCGACTGTTGACTTGTGCGCATTATTATGAACATCTTGCCGTCTTCGAGTGTTGCTTGCACCTGGTGATCAAATTGAAAATGA